TTATCTACAAGGCATAATTTTACAACCCAAGATAAGGCAAGCTTTAGGGAATCATTATAGCAGTTAGGGTGACATTTTTTCCCCCCAAATAGAGCAAAATGGTGGGAGGGAAATGCAGTGTTCGGCTAGGGAGACCGTTTCATCTGTGTGTGTGTCTGTGTGTGTGTCTGTGTGTGTGTTGTATCCAAGTAGAGCAGAAATACTAAACATAACAATTGATGGGATAATACAAGGCAACTTAACTATATTCAGTTAAAACACTTTTGACCCTGTCACTGAAGGTAATCTGCACCTTATTCTTAAAAAAAAATCTACTGAGCATCATACATGACGTCAAGGCTTTAACTTTTTGCTTTTACAAGTTACAACATATTTAGCAATGACATTTCACACATACTTGGATGTTCAGTAACTTCAAATCCAAATATTTTTGCCAAGCGCTAAGATCAGGGACCACCATTGCGCACCTTCGAGAGAAGCCAATCTTCTACGGATTTGCAACAATCGAAAAGTACCAGGCAACTGCAAAACTTGAAAAGCAACTCTATCTACTTCTATCATACAATTCTCCTAGAATAAAAAGCATCGAGCTGAACTCCACGCTACACGCTGAATACTGACTGAAGCAAAGAAGTTCTACTAAGGGCAAAAAACATAATGTTCATTAACAACCAATGATTTGATTCATTCAAAATGTAATTTAGAGTTGATGAAATGACAATTTCTTTTTACAATTATTTATTTATTTTAAAGTCGGCTATAGGCTACATGTGCTCCCCAGAGAGAGGAAGGGACAGAGAGAGGAAGAGACAGAGAGAAAGCAAGTTACCAGGTCCAGGACTTCAACCGCACTCGGCCACGTGGGAGTCCAGCACCTTAACCACCACACCTGCTGGTCCCCAAATTACCATTTCTTTTTTTTTTCTTTCCCCTGAAGTTTTTACTATATGGCATGCGTGCTCACCAGAGACAGAAAGACAGTGAGAGGGAATGAGAAACCACCCCTCAGAGGCAATGGCCACACCACAATCTGTCCTCCACTCTCCTCCTGGGGTTTCAGGCACGCGCGCACATGTGCCCAGCCTAAGTTGCAAGCCACCAGGCCTGGTACTCAAACCACGGTTGCTCATGTGGGAATCTGGTACCAGCCATCAAGTACTTGTGCTGACAAATTTTTTCATTACACAAAACAGAAATAAAAATTTAAAAAACCCAAACATGCATGCATTTAATATATCATTTGAAACACACGGTGTAATTAAAAGCTAACTTCAAAAAGCATACTCAAACTGACATCCATTTCTTCTCCAACTAAATAAAGCACATTAAAATATCAAATAATTAAATACCACTAGGTACCAGCCTAAAACTTAAAACCAAACTTTTAATTTAAGAGAGCGGAGGGGCCAACAGGTAGCGCAGTAGTTAATGTGCTGGACTCCTATATGGCCAATTATGGTTTGAGTCCCGGCCGGGAGGCCTGAAAGTCAGGCATGTCTGTATGCATGCCCCAAAGAATCCCAGGAGGGCAGGCAGGTGGTGTGGTGGTTAAGGGCGCTGGACTCCCACATGACCGACCGTAGTTCAAGTCCCAGGCCTGGCGGCTTGCTCACATGCAAAAATATAATCCCAGGAGGAGAATTACTGGGACTACCATATAACGTTTAGAAAATAATACTAGTAAGCCAAACAAAAGTAGACTTTTAATCCACTTTATTTAAATGACCCCACTGGAGGATGTCTTTAGAAAATAAGACAGTCATGGGGCTGGCAGGTGGCGTGGTGGATAAGGTGCTGGACTCCCACATGGCCAACCATGGTTTAAGTCCTGGACCTGGCAGCTTGCATTTTCACGCTCTCTTTCTCTCTTGTCAAACTGAATAATAATAATAATAAATTATTTTATTTTTTTTGAAAAAGAAAAGAATGCAGTCTTTATTTTCACGTTTAGCTTTAGCTTTAGCTATAGGTATAGGTCACGTGCGCTTGTCAAACAGAGACAGAGGTGGAAGGTGAGAAATCGCTCCCAGGGAGATGGCCGCAATTCCTCCTCCTCTAGTCTCCTCTCTGGGTTTGGGCACGCACATGCCGGGGGGCAAGCCAGAGCCAGCCATGGGAGGGTCCGCGCCTTAACCTCCATGTCATGCTGGCTGGCCCCCGCAGTACTGACCTTTAAAAGACAACATACTGGGGGACCAACAGTTAGCATAATGGCTACATCACTGGACTCCCATGTAGTCGACCGCGGTTCAAGTCCCGGACCTGATGGCTTAAACTCATGCTGGGTGTGCGC